GAAAAAGCTAACTCTTTAATTTCTGCCCTCTCACAAGGCCTAAACAAGGTCAACAGAAGAACTCCTCCTCCTTTAGGATTTTAGAAATCTGACAATCTATTCCATTTTTTGGGCGTGGGGGAGAATACTATTTTTACCTAAAGAAGAGGGGGTCACTCATCCTCTGCAGTAACTGAAGTTCTTTGAGATGGGTGATCCTGTGAGTGCTCCACCTTAGGTACTCGGGCGCCACAGTGTGCCCAGCTGGAAGATTTCTATAGCAGTGCTTGTGGATAGGCTGTTCGCACATGCTCAGTACTCTGCACATGCCAGACAGCTAATGTGCATGCGAGAGCCATGAACCCTGGTTGAACTTCAAAACGTTTGTCTATTAGAGGGCTGGGACGTGGTGGGCTGGCTGGCGGATTGTCACCTTCTGCTCTGGCATTGTCGCTTTTTCTGGTCATACTGCCTTTGTGGTTGAGTAAAGAAGGCAGGTCTGTATCTTTGAGTATAGCCCTTATTTTGTTTATGTTGCTACACAGAAACCTGAATGCCCTGCGTGCGAGGAGTGGCTCTGGAATCTTTCAGGAAATGCAACGAAGTGTTGGTGGACTCCATGAAAAGCTTTGGGCCCTCAAAAGGGAGGTCTTCGACCCTTGTTGGACCACTTTTAGGAAGCCAGATATGTGGAAGCCAGGATGCTCTCCTCATCACAACCATGACTGCAAGAGAATATCAGCAGAGTCGAGGGAGGCCAGTAGAATTGTCCTAGCTATTACGGAGCCGTCATTTGTGTTGGCTTTAAACTATTCCCTTTTTTATTCTGGAAGGTATTTAATAAAAGTGGGTATCTGTTCGAAAATGTGATGTGTATATTTTGCCAGCATAACCATGTAGTTGGAGGGAGGCAGACGAATACGCTTTTCTATCCATTAGACCAAGCCGTTTCCACTCCTTATCAGAGGAAATGGATTTTGGTAAGGTATGTTTAGCCCTCTGGTTTGCAGCGTCAAGTTCGAGGGAGTTGGCAGGAGGATGTGTGAAGAGGAACTCCGTACCCTGCAAGGAGACACAATATTTCCTATCTGCCTTTTTGCCCACTGGGAATATGGTGGCTGGTGTTTCCCACAAGAGTTTAGTGGGATCCATGAGGGCAGTGTCCATGGGTAGCGCTAGTTTGACCGCTGGTGTGGTGTGTAGGATGCTGGTGGGCTTATGTTGGGTGTCAGGCTGTGTCGTTAATGAGATCTCTAATGCATCAGCTACCCTTCTAAAAAGGTCTTGAAAAGCTCTGGAATCATCGCCTGCTGAGGGAGTCGGTAGCATGAGGGCATCCTCTGGAGGAGAGGACAGCTGAGTTGGCAGGTGAGATGAATCATTCAAGTCATCATCACTGAAAGGGTGATCAAAGTCAGTTTGATCCCCAGACATATCTAGAGAGGTCACTGATGTGTGTCTCAAGTGAGCCTGACCAGCATGATGTTATTGTTGCTAGTGTGTTCTGAAAGATGCCTGGGGTTCAGTAGGGCCAAGTGGGAGGCATGGGCATGAGAGGCAGTAGCCACTGGTTGGGGTACCACTGAGGCATCATCAGTTATGGTTGAGGTGTCCTCCTCTTACAGGAGGAGTGCCTGGGCGAGATGGTGTTTGAGAGACAGAGCTTCCTCCTCACTATATAAAGAAGGTGCAGAAGATGTTATATTTGCTAGGTAGAACCTGGCAAGTTTCAGAGAGGCCTCAATACCAAAAACCAGAGTAGTGGGTACTCAGGTAACTTTTAGTTGGTCTGCAGATGTAAAAGAGTAAGTTTGAGGCATAGGCAGTGGGAGGTACTGCAGCTGTGAGCCTTTTGCCTTGCCAGGTAGTGGGGGAGACGCTCACACCGACAGAGTCGAGCATGAGGCTTTAGTAAAACTGCTATTTTTTTCAGAAGCTGAGTGCAGAGTCGGTGCTAGCAGTGCCAGGGTTGTCTTGAGTTTTTGTGCCGCAAACGGCTTAGGCTTTCTAGCTTATTTTGGCATTGTAGAAAGGTCTTGGGACCCCCAGGGTGCAGTGGGTGGTCCCAGCCCCGGCAAGCTCTTGTCCAGAGCCCCCACAGGGACAGAACTGGCTTGGAGTTGTGGGATCGCCCTTTCTTGGGAGAAGGGGATTCCCTGCTAGCATCTGATGCATTGTAGCCAGACAGGCCACCCCTCTGTCACATCCATCTTGTTTGCCCCTCTGAGGTGCCTGCATACAGGGCAGAGAAGGAGCAATAAAAATCAGCATAGTCTTTGAAGCCTTGACAAGAGGCCCGGATATGCTGGCTCATCTGACCCTGGGTAAGCTGAAAACATAGATGAGAGAGAGTGATCAAGTCAATAAGCTGACCTCGAGGCTGCAAGAACTGTGTTGGCTGGCACCTATATTGATACGAACACACACTTGTTCGGGGAGAAGAATCTCCCGCCCAGTAAAGAATGTCCAGTATTCACAATTTAGTTCTCTCTCTTACAAGTGTAAATTAAATTGAAACTCCCTTGTAAGAACTTGCATCACAAAGACGGACCAATATAATTTGACATCTTAGATAAGAAAGAGGATACGGGCCCCTATGGGTATAAAGATGGGACCAGCAACACACTTACTCTGAGCGTCAATCTACCATCTATCTGCTGGCCGGGTTAGGTGATTGGCCTCCGAAGGTTCCACAGGGACACCCACCTCGTATTCGTCTTTCTAGGAATTGAGTGACCGGCCCTGGCCTGATACACTGGAGTCAAGAGGCACAGGAGGGGGTAAAAATTGTACACAGACTTAGAGCTCTTTAAAGATTAAGCTGTCACTTGGTACCATTATTTCTATTTTCTATCTTTATTTTCTTTGTAACCATTTTTAAGATCTATATTTGCTAGCAGTTAAGAAATAGAGCAATAGCCATTGTAACCATATGATTTATAAGCTTCTTTAATAAACCTGTAACTGTTTAAGCTTTAACCTGACTCCTTCCGTTGCTGTAACAGAACCAAGCACAATTTAAAAGAACTCCAGCCGGTTATAAGGGACAGATACAAGCAGAGCTGGGTATCTGGATTATGTCGCCTCCAGGGGACAGATCCATAAGGGCACCCATCAGCCTTCCATAGGCTGTCCGCTGCGGAGGGACCTCAGTCCTAGCGGCTAAAGACACGGGTGTAATAAACTCTCCCTGTAAACTCTGGGGCATCTGTCAGCCTGTCGGCTGCCTGCCATGGAGGGACCCGAATCCTAGCAGACTAAGACACAGACGTTAAACTCCTCGGGGCACCCGTCAGTCTTTCCTAGACTGCCCACTGTGACGGGGCCTTGTGTCCCAGCAGTTTAAGACTCAGGTGTAACACACACACACACACTGCCCTGACCATCAGCTGGCATAGTTGGCAGGATTGTTTACTGGTTCAAATACAGCAGCATGAAGCCAGTCACGTTTAACATGGATTTTAGCTGTATAGAGAAAAAGTTTGCCCAAGAGGGATGGGGCAACCCTAAATGGGATAAAGAGATGTTAAGGAAAGGTGCTTGCATCTGGCTGTTAAAGGGTGTGTGGCAAGCAGCCTGCACTAGCTACTGGAACTTAGAAACAGAGCTGATAAGGGTTCAGAGGGAGAAGGAGGAACTGCAAAAACAATGCCAGAAACTAGACACTCGAGTGCGAACACTGGAATCTCCCGCCCAGTAAAGAATGTCCAGTATTCACAATTTAGTTCTCTCTCTTACAAGTGTAAATTAAATTGAAACTCCCTTGTAAGAACTTGCATCACAAAGACGGACCAATATAATTTGACATCTTAGATAAGAAAGAGGATACGGGCCCCTATGGGTATAAAGATTGGACCAGCAACACACTTACTCTGAGCGTCAATCTACCATCTATCTGCTGGCCGGGTTAGGTGATTGGCCTCCAGAGGTTCCACAGGGACACCTACCTCGTATTCGTCTTTCCTAAGAATTGAGGGACCGGCCCTGGCCTGGAGTCGAGAGGCACCGAAGGGGGTAAAAATTGTACCTGGATGTGTCCTTTGTCTTGAGTGTACACATAGACTTAGAGCTCTTTAAAGATGAAGCTGTCACTTGGTACCATTATTTCTATTTTCTATCTTTATTTTCTTTGGGTGTGTCTAGACTACATGCCTCCGTCGACGGAGGCATGTAGATTAGCCA